GCAATTCTAATTATGAGCTTTTTTTACGATTGTGAGGTGTTTATTCATAATATATCGTGTTCAATAATTTATTAATGCTGCCCATACTGTATAAAGCATGTTCCACACCTATTGCAACATTTTGTGTGAACTATGTGAATTTTTCCTCAAACTGTAGGCGAATACGCACCTTTCCTTAAACAGGATGTACACAGTGCGCAGTTTGTAAACCTTGAATTTTAGTGTAGCAGTCAGTAGGTTTAAAAATTATTAGCCAATTTAGAAACTTTTTTAAAACCGAAAGATACCCTTCCTTTAAGTATAAAATTTAAGAAGGGCGTAATTTGCTACCAAACGAGTACAAGAAATAATTTTTCTATTTGAATTTATAAAGGCAGTCAAAATGACTGGTAAAACGCATTCTATTTAAGTAGTTGCTTTTTACAGCAGATAGGTTTTGTAAGTGGTCAGAACGAAGCTCGTTAAAAAGCTCGCATCCTATCATGACTGAACTGACTTCAGAATAGACCACGCGATAATCAGTATCACATACTGAGTCAACGCCGATTAGCGAACGAGTATCAGTCTTTCGCATATGTCGGCATGTCGCACGAATTCTGGCGCGTACTGTGGTACGCAGGACTCATGCAACACGCACACGCTCGAGTTTTTCAACGTCGTATGCGTTGATTTGTACCAGCCACTTGCATGCGAGATGTCATTTACTGCTAGCCTGGTCCCTGTATGTGTGCAATAAGAACCATCTCGTGTGTGGTCTCACTGTGCCGACTTTCATCGCCAGTCGGCTGGTCCTTTTCACCGTCTAATTCCGTCCTGAGAAGACGCCTCGATCGCTGGGACAAAACTGTTATTTGCCTGACGTTTTGATATCCGTCGCGGATTCATCATCAGAGACATAATCACAGCGCAGTAACAGATACAGATCGTGTGTTCACTGGAGTTTTCCCGAGGATTACTTGAGCCATGGTTCACAGGTTCCATCAACAAGTGTAAGGAGCTAATTTTTAAGTTGCGGCTCATTCGATGAGACCCGGCCACACATTCAAATTTGATGAGGC